ACAGACAGGGATAAAACCTGAAAGGGGTCCTAACCAAAAAAGGTTTTGTTTTTTCATATATTTTAACATAAATAGGCACGCAACACATCATGTGGCTGCATAATGCGTAAAGATATCAGGTCATTTAGCTCTTGTTTACCTAGATTTTAGAACTGTGAGCGGTGTGATCTAAGCAACTTAGATTATGAAATCACTGTTGGCTGCAGATGCCGGAGTAGCAGAAAGTGCTGATTTCCTGGAACTTACACACTATGGTGTTTGTGACATTTACATAAAAACAAAAGCATTCCATAAGTAGCATTTTGTTGGCAGAAGCACCTTGTTTATTGAGGTGTTAAGAAAATAATAGCCAGACTTGTTTACGAAGGCAGAGAGTCCCCAAGTGCTTACATAGCTACTCTTTACAAAAGTAGCATAGAGAAAGGCATATTTAAAAGCAAATACATCAAACCTTAAAGAGCATGGGCTACAGTGGCAAAAGACAATGCTGGGCTCCAACCCTTTCACATAAATTGGAAAATAATATGGTTAAAATTGCCACCCTGCCCCCCGGCCCAGTCCGCCCCTGTTATGAGATCAACTAAGCTTGATGGCTGAAAATGAGAAAATCTTAACTTGGTCTGTTGAATATCAATTAATGTGGCACGCAGATGGTGGGGTCAGAATTAAAGTGTATCTAAAGTCAAAACATTTTAGATAAAGTGGTAAGGAGTTAGAACCCCTGCAAGGATTTTTTTTGCTGTCTGCATCCCCATTAGGGAGATTCACCATTTCTAAATGTCCTTTTGACCATTGTCACTGGGACTAAAAGGAAAGTGCAATATTTTGAGCTGTCACAGAACACCCATAGAGACATGGGTTCCAACCAATCTCTACTCTATCCAAAAGGAGAAAATCTTTTAGCTTTTCATATACTTTTAGCACACACAACATAATGTACAGTTACGTATTAATTCTGTCTTGTTCAGTCCATTTCAGAATGGTGGTTAAGATCTAATGCTAATACCAAGGATCAGCATAGACTAAAATCCATAATGTTCCCATAACCATAGCTTGTAGTATGAGTTAGTCCATGCTACTAAGAATATAGTCATTAAAATTAAATTAAAGTTAAAATTAAGAAGGTAATCCAAATGGGTTTATACATTTAATGTTATATTTAAATATATTTATTTCCTCCTTTTTACATTTCTGTATCCTTTGAACCATAGTGGGGGTCCAATTAACAAGAAAAGTAGGACATGCTGTCTTTTTTATGTACACTAGTTCACCAACATGGCAAGGAAAGAAAAATGTAAATAGCACCTAGGGCATATTCTATTTAAAAATATGAACACTATTAGATAGGAAATAAAGTTGAACTGTTTCCAGGAGGCCCTCGTGAAGCATGTATTCATTTCTTTATTAGTAATATAAATGAAATCTCCACAATGTCAGGAGACTTATGGCATTTACTGGTTTCTGGCAAGGCTCTATGCATGATGTTCTGGACATTAAACAATATTGGGACCTATAACCAGTCTAGAATAAGCCATTTTGTAAGTAAATTGTAATACTTCAATCTTCATGTACTGTATACATATAGAACTCCCTCGAAATTTAATTTTGTCCTTGTATCATTGGCTAATTGCTTGTTACCAGTCTTCTGTACTCAGATACAAGGCAAATTACCAGGATCCCTTTCAAAATGAGTTTCATTTCAGGTGAGGCAATTTCTAAGGTTATTCCTCACCTAAAAATATGCAGACATTGAAGACTTTCCTATTACAAAAATTAAAACTGATTAGCTGGTAAAAAGGAAAGCTGACCTTTCAACTCAGACATTTTTGTTTAGAAATAACATGCTAATATTAAAAAAGGTATGCGCTCCAAGAGTTGCTAAAGTCTACGCTTTATAGAGATTGCTTACCCAGAGAAGATTTAAACAAAAAAAAAAATCCGGAGTTATAGTTATAAACAGGCCTAATCTTAAAATCTAAAGCTTGGCTGGAAAACAAGGATCAATTAGCACAATGTAATATGGTAATGCAAATAGTAAAGATAAAAAGTTAAACAAATTCCCAATCAGAAACAGGAAAGTACTTCTGCACATGTGACAGTCCCTAGGCACCCTCCATACACAGGTGCCTGTCAGGATTTTACCATCATATTCCCACACTCTTGCCTCTTATTACTAGATTACAGTGATGAAGTAATCAGGAGTCCAGTCTAGGAACAGGAAAAGCTTCCCAGTAATAACTTCTGCCTACACTAATATGGTGACTACCTTGCAACTTAACAGTTCTGCAGAGTAAATGACAAAGCGGGCCTGGGTAAACATCACCAGAACGTCCTATATAATGCACAGATAACATCTCTTATACTGTATCATGAATAAGGTTGCCTGAGCCTAGGTTTAGGTAATTGCAAAGGGAAAGAAGCATGTATAGAAACACCCACTATCTCTTCCCGCCAGATCTATTATTTACTCACTTTTTAAAAAAGTACTTCCTCCGTAATTTGTTTTACTAATGAATAACTCCTGTGTGATCTGACACAAAGCTGTTCCTCTTCTTAAGGTGCCCATACACCTTGGGAGGCGTGCAACCGTTTCTACTGTATGGTCGCACGTCTTTTGTCGAACGGGCATGCTAGAAAACCCGCAGAGAATCGTACGATTGTTGGCGGGTTTCTGGCCTGCTCGTTCGACAACTGCGGAACGGGCCAGTGAGCGCACGCACAGCCTCAGCGGGGCAGGCTTTCGATGATCGCAAGTACGATCTACCTGTCCAAGATGGGCAGATCTTACGAGCGTTTAATTAGCTTACAACCATCGCAAGACAAAAATCTTGCGATGGTTGTAAGGTGTATGGGCACCTTTAGAGAGAGTAAAGAGCAAATTGTAATGTCAAATGTTGGCATCAAACCTACTGTATATCAAAGTATCATTTTTATCAAGACTTGTCCTATAAATAGTATCATCACACTACTCTTGTGTCTTGTGTACAACAAAGTGCTAATCTAAGTTTAATAAGATAAAGCTCTCCAGTTATTATAAGGCCTTGTTCACACCAAATGCAGAGCAGATCTGCATGAGTTTCTGCACATGCAGTGCAGTGGGTTGTGCCGCGTTTTTGCCGCGATTGTGATGCGTTCCGTGCCGTTTTTGGTAAAAAAAACATAAAAGCATTTTTTTTTAGTTTAAAATGGGCTTTCAGTGCGTTCCGGGGCGTTTGCAAGCGTTTTTGATACGTTTGCATGCGTTCCAGAGCATTCCAGAGCAGGTAAAATAGCGCCTGCTGCAGTTTTTTTACCTGCTCTGGACCTGCTCTGGAACGGAACCCTGCAATGTGAACTGGAGCTAAAAATACCATTGGAATACATTGGACGCAGTTTTGCTCCGGTCTGTAACTGCTCTGCTCTGCTCCTGGAACGCGCTTAGTGTGAACAAGACCTAACTGAATTAAATAGGTTTGTTTTGTCTTTGAAGTGTGAAACAGAGCTTCTAGTTTTTACAGTAGTGTCATTATAAATCTCTATGTAGGTCATTTAATTTACTGATGATCATGGTAAAGCTGTCATCTTTCATTGCACTGTAATGCTGTACTGAGGTAGAAGAAGAGCAGTCAGAGCACAGAAACTCAAACCAGAATACATTTAGTCACCAAAGAAAACAAATACATTTAGGCTACATGGCAATGCTTTATTATGGTTAATGTAAACCCCTATTCCAGCTTAATAAGTGAGCTGTGTTATAAAAAAAATATTAGAGCCCAACTTTGGACTTAATGCTCCCCTCCCCAAATTGAACCACTTCCCCTTTGTGGCTCTCACTGGCTGTACAATTTATGGTTTTATTTTTTAACACTCATCTTTTCCATAGACTTCAAGCTGGTCATGTGATGCTGCCTCTTCTCTGGGCTGGGCGGTCCTCACTGATACAAAGAGTGGCACTGATATGATTGTGTAAGTGCCGCCCACTGCACTAGTACACTGTGAAGGAAGGGCCATGACATACTGCACTCACAGTATGTGCTCAGTCATTAGGCTGAATGATGCTGGAAGACTGTAAGCATTTAGTGGCAAAGAAGAGGTACTGTGGAAGCAGCTCCAGATTTAAATTGAACATTGCAGCCTGAGCTACTTGTTTTAACTATGCTTGGGGCATCCTCTGATAAAATAAAAATTAGCCCAGAATTTGTCTTTAAGACTAAAGTGTATTTCAACTTTTGCAGCCAAATTGGGATACAACCTATTTTCTATTTGTTACCTGTTCCCAATCACATAGCATAATATTAATAATAATAATACAAAAAATTAGCTTGTCCTTTCTAGATGTTCTTTGTGCTTACTCCAAGACTGAAGAAATCAGCTTAGATCTCACTGTCTGGGGGAGGAGGGGGGGGGGTTTTGGGGGGGTTGTTTCAAATAATTAACCCTGTCTGTATTATGCTGGCAGATTTAATTATCACTTGCAAATTTGAGGAGCAGGACTGTCTTTCCTAACAAAGGGTTAAAGCCTTGAGGACATTGTATGTTAATAAGAGGAAGTTCAACCAGTCCTAAGTTTTTGCATTAGGACAGACAGAGTTTCCTGTCACTGAAATTGTGAGATAAGCTTGCAAAGGCCTGCTGAATAGAGATAGCTAAAAAATATATATTTTTAAATATGCGCTATGGAACACATAACAAACATTTAGAGGCCTTTTTCTCAATGTTGACTGAAAAAGTGTAAATACACTTGAAATGGAAACCTTGTTTGAGACCTCTTCATTAGGCAACATAGAGGTACTCCTTTTCCCAGGTTTCTTGTAGTTTTACTTTTTCAATTTGACCAGTTATTCAACCATGTAATGTTTCTGCAAGGTGACCAAGGACAAAACATTTTTAAAGTAGTGTTTTTAAGCTAAATATTATGGGAAAATAAATAGCCAACAGTTCAATTGTAGTCATAGCAACACATGCTTTATTGACACAATAAATCATTTGTTCTTTTCTATCTTGTAACAGAATTCATGTTATCAATATTTCACTCTACTTGTTGCTTTTATCCAGTCTATATTTCTATAGATATTTGAATATACACCATATTTATCACTATCCCCACAGCCCACTCCCCAGGACACAGTTCCTGCCAGATACCAGCTATTTTTATGTTGACTGAAGGTGACCATTGGACCACCGGAGTCACCGGAGCAGGCATCCTTCCCCCCTGCAATAAAAGAAGACTGTTAGTTCAGTATGTACATATATCTTGTAACAACACTTAAGAAAAAAGTGACTTTGTCTAATAAGGTCTAAAGCAGGATGCAAAGTCTAGTAACTCATATCAGAATTTCTAAAACAAAATCAGATTTGAAAAAAACGAAATCCATAAGCCTATGTTAATAAAGACCAACAATGCAAAAAAAATGTAGACATTTAGATGTGTTTTAACTTTTTTTAACACAGCATTTTCTATTGAACTATCTAGAGGGACTTCTGCGCTCGATTAATCTGAAGAACTGGGTATTTCTCCTTACAGCTGCTCACTTAAATTGGCTGCATGAGCCTGCATTAATATCAAACAAATATGTTTACACGTTTGATAGACATGTGCGATTCGTTTAGTTCCGAAGCGAAATTCGGACGAAAATTTCCCGAAATTCGTTAGCAGTAGTCCCGTCGAAATTTTGTTTTGTGGACCAAATTTCGTTGCAGCAAACTGACATTAGGAAAAACTATTTTTTTTTTTTTTTTAGTTTGCAGAAGATGAAAAAAAAAGCATGAGGTTCCCCCCCAATTCATACCAGACCCTTTAGGTCTGCTAGGAATGTTAGGAGGGACCCCCCCAAGTTAAAACACAAAAAAAGTGCGTGGAGTTCCCCCAAAATCCCTACCAGACCCTTTAGGTCTGGTAGGAATTTTAAGGGGGAGCCCCAGCCCCCACAAAATGGGAGAAAAAACGTGGGGTCCCCCCTAACAGTCCTACCAGACCCTTGATCCGAGCACTGGCCCGGCAGGAAAGGGGGGGACGATCAAGCGCCCCCCTCCCTGCGCCTTACCAGGCCACGTGCCCTCGGCATTGGGAGGGTGTCCCCATGCCGATGGGGACAAGGGCCTCTTCCCCACAACCCTGACCCGGTGGTTGTGGGGGTCTGCGGGCAGGGGGGATTATTTGCATCGGGGTACCCCTTTAAATAAGGGGGCACCCAGATGCCGCCCCGCCTCCTTGTGAATGAGTAAGGGGTACTTATACCCCTACCCATTCACTAAAGGGTTAAATCAAATAGTTAGTAAAAAGTCCAGACTTTTGATCGATGGAGCAATGGACCCCTTGGTAACAATTGCCAAGTTTTGGGGATCCCCAATGGTAAAATTATTATTTTTATTATTATAATTATTATTAGGGATGCACAGATACCGAGTACTGATAATTTTTTTTTGGTATTCACCGATACCGAATACTGATACCAGTTCTGTGTGCCCAGATTATCAAGAAGCTGGACAGCGGGTCAGGAAGCCAGGCTGCCTAGCAACAAGTTAAGCTGGATGCCTGATTGGAAAGGAAGCCAGCTCTATGCTCCCTCGGCACTTCCGGTCAGAGGGAGATCTCCCTCTGACCGGAAGTTCCATTATCGGAGGTAAGTATCAGAGGATTTGGGAGAGTACGAGTACTCACCCAAATACTCGGCATCGGCACTGATACCAATACTAGTATCAGTATCAGCGCATTCCTAATAATAATTCAAATAATTTTTTTTAATTAACATTTTTTTAAACTTTTTAAACATTTTTATCGTATACTTTTTATTTTTTTTATCATTTTCATTGTATTATTGTTTACTTCTTATCACTTTTTTATTTTTTAATTGTTTTTAATCTAATTTTTTTACATTTATTTATTTATTTTACTTTTTAGCAATTTTTTTTTCCACTTAACTTTATTCATGTCACACAGGAGCTAAGAATCCCCTGTGTGATAGCATTTGGAGGGGACAGGTTCTCTTTATTGAATCTGTCACCTCCAGTACAGGAGTTCTAGCACAGCATTGTGCTGGAACTCCTGTGACAGCTAAGATGGGAAGGCTGTGCTCTGCTTTGCTCCCTGCTCTCCATCCTGAAGAAATTGGCTGTGGTTCCAGGTCCCGGAGATGAGGGGGTACCACGTAAATCATGGCAGTTAGGGAAGCAGCCAGGTAAATGTAGAAAAAAAACACTTGCCTGCTGTCAGCTCCTCCCTGACCGCAGCTGCTGCAGCGACATCTGCCAGGTGGGAGAACTGACACTGCTGTGCTAGGAGGGGGCTGAAGAGCATCCTACCTAGCGCAGCAGAAGGCACGCGGCGACCCACTCAATAGGGTCCTGTTGGAGACGCATTAGCAGTGAGCTGCTAATTCAGGTCTGTAGACCTTTTCGGGTTCTGTCTCTGAACATTTGTCCACTTTGTTGAATTAGGAACATATTTGCAAAATTACCATCTCACTTTCAATATTTATAGTTACACTGGGTTTAAGGTTTTAATATAGATTCGTTTAGAGGGGATGCGGAGAGTTGATTAGAGCAGTTTTTATTAAAGGGACGTCTGTCCTTGATTTCAATGAACAAATAATGTGAGAGCTGTGCATGTTCACAAGCAATTTGTCTCCATGTTTTGGCAGGTGAGCAGGTGTTAAACGCATGCAAATATGCACATGCGCAAGCTAGAAAAGGGTGCACTGGCTGTGTTGTTTAACGTGAATATGTGTTTTATTCCATGAATGGTAAAGCAACAGGTTAATTTCATTCACACTAACTCCAGCAGCACATAATAATCTTCCTTTCACTCCACTGCCACTCCATTCAGCTGCAGGGAGCAAATAAAAAATTAGCCCCAAAATTGGACCAGTGCTGACACATGTTCACTGGGAGACTGTATCGGCAGAAAAATGTCATTATTGCTCTCACTGCGACGTTCGAGGCAATATGTAACATGTGCAGCACAATTGTCGTCTTTCGCACGTAGGCGCTCCGACACGTGTGTCTCTGGGGGGCGGGGGACTTAAACATTTTTTTCCCATTTTTTTTAATGTTACTTTAATTTTGAAACACTTTTTTTTGTACACTAACCCTATTGGTATTACATAGGAAACTAACAAGCACCCTGTGTAATAGCAGATAGGGTGTGACAGGTCCTCTTTATGAAGGCATCAGGGGTCTTTTAGACCCCTACTGTCACCTAGAGACCCCAAACAAGCTGAGGAAGCCGAGATCTGCTTTCCCAGCTTCTTGTCCTGGCTCTGAGAGCCGGAGACTGTGTACAGTGACACCGGAAGTGATGTAATATATAGCACTTCCGCGTACAGTTATCGGAGGAGAGATCAGCGGCTGGAAGCGGCTGAATCTCTCTCTGATCATTGCGGGGAGACCCACCGACCCAGTGGCCGCTGCGGGAGGGGGGGGGGCACCACACGGTACAAACGATCCGGCAGCTATTCAGACACCAGATCGATTGTAAGTTACACAGCAATCGCCTGCTGTTAAAAGCAGTACCAAGCGCACGGCTGCCGAAGGAGCCGTATTTTTGTTTTAACCACTTCTGCGGGCCGCCGTCTATAGACGTACTGCGGCACGGAAGTGGTTAAAGTGACATTAAATCTTTCCCCCCTCCCCCCAATGTAAATGTCAGCACTTACCTTAACCAGTTGACATCCGCGGTGTTAAACCCCCTTCCCATCCAGGCCATTTTTCAGTATTCAGCGCTGCGCTACTTTGACTGACATTTATTCCGTCATGCAGCGCTGTACTGAAATGAATTTTGTACCCTTTTTTGGGGACAGATAGAGCTTTCTTTTGGTGGTATTTATTCACCACTGGGGGTTTTATTTTTTTACTATATTAAGGAAAAATTACCGAAATTTTTTTAAAAAAAACAGTTTCCCCTATATTAAATGATAAAACATTTATTATTACCCAATTTTTTGGTAAAATATAAAAGATGGGGTCACGTCGGGTAAAAAGACACTAAACATGTCAAGCCTTAAAATTGCGTGCGCGCGCGAAACCTCAAAAAACGATAATACCCAAAATTGGCCCTAGGCGACGCTTTAAAAGCTGTTACCGCTCATCAGTTTAGTGTTATCAGTGATTGATGGCCCTAAAATGATTGCTCTCACTGCGACGTTCGCGGCGATATGTAACATGTGTAGCGCAATTGTAATTTTTGCGCGCTGGGGCACCGGACGCGTATTTACGTTTATAGGCGCGTAAACGTGGGGGTGGGGGAGTTAAACATTTTGGGGGGGTTTTTTCCCCTTTTTTTATATGTGGCTTTTATTTTATTTTATTTTTTTATGTGTTACTTTTCTTTTTTTTTATTTATATTTTTTTTTTTGCACTTATTGTTATTGCTATTATATAGGGGGATAACAACCCCCTATATAATAGCAAAGGCACACTGACAGGTCCTCTTTATGGAGATATTAGGGGTCTCTAGGACCCCTAATATCACCTATGGACCCCAAAAGAAGCTGATAAAGCAGAGATCTGCTTTATCAGCTTCTTCTCTCTCCAGATGACTGACAGGTGAATGCGGAAGTGATGTAACACACATCACTTCTGCATTCACAGCCCGGACGGGGATCAGCAAGGAGCTGATCTCCCGTCCTCCTCCTCCTGACGCCCTCGGAGCCGGTCCCGGGATCCAAGATGGGGCAGCGGATCCCGGGAATCAAGGTGAGGGGTCAGGGGGAAAAAAAAAAACGGAAGCGCCGAGCGGGCGCGGGGGGGGAGGGGGGTGGTGCCGCGAACGAACACATATAGGCGATCGGTGAGCTTTGGACCCGCCGATCGCCTATATGTGAAACACCCGGTAACGGGTGTGTGCATTTAGCGGGTCTTTTCTGCCCGTGCGTGCCCGCTAGGGGGCGCGCGCGAGCAGAAAAAAATTGCCGTCTGGAGACGGCAACCCGCAGATGCTGCAGTGCCGTCCGTCCGTTTTTTTACTACGGGCGGACGGCAAGAGGTTAACTGATGTCTCTTATCCGATCTTCTTCTTGTTTCCTGATATTTTCATCTGTCCCTCCAGCTGTGCGGCGGGTCTCCGATCCAGCGCATGCGTCCGCCCCAAGATGCTTTGCGGCCGCCTGAGCAGTTTCGGATTTTCGGACGGGAGCACGCGGCAAAGACGGGGTAACTTTAAACCGCTGTTAAAGCGTTTTGTTTTTTCCCCCAACTTTTTGCATATATCTAACTGCTTGCTAGCCTTATATATATGCAAAAAAGCCAGAGGGTTAATACTCACCTGATCCCTGGAACGACCGACAAGCGCAGACTCCCCTCACACTGGAGAGAATGAAACCTGTGTAAGCTCCGACTTGAGCATACACAGGTTTGATTGTCTCCTAGTGTGCATGTGTCAGCAATGGTCCAATCCTCAAGCACTAGTGCTGTCACATGGAGAAAGTAACATACTCTTCCATGCCTCCATAGAATTAATAAGTATTTCCATCGCTCCAGGCCATGGCGTGGCAGGAGAGCTAAGGAAATAGAAGTATATGCAACTCGAGAGATGAGCTTGAAAGCAACCTGTTACTTTGAGCTTCATGGGGAAAGCACAGGTTCTCTTTAGGTCAGCTGCCTGTAAGCTCCTTTGAGCACATACAGGTAGACAGAATGTAGTATAATAGTCAATAACATATCCACCTTTTAGGACACAGTGGTATTGTTTAACACACCAATAAAAGGAAAATATATAATACTCATTTATATTGTTACCAGAATTAGTGTAACAAGGTTACATTGAACACAAATATATTATATTTTAACTTCATAAATTACTGCACACATTACAGTTATAAATATAATCATTTGTTTATCAGTAGAATGAGATGTATTTTTCCAATTTATTAAAATGACACTTTGCTTAGGTTAAATTATTTAAAATAATTAAGAAAAATTATCACTTGTTAAAAAATGCAATCAACATAATAAAAAATACATTATTCTAATATTCCCACTTGTCTGCCAGTAAGGTGAGGAGATTTTCAGTTAGAGATAGGCAATGACAACCATGGGGATTTGTGCTGGACTATTGAAGTATGCATACTCTTACATTAGTGATGTGTTCACTGTTGTATAATATACTGCTTGTATATTATTTTCAATTTTACTAAATACAAGTAAAGTATCCATGTCACATCAGGCACGGGTGGAGTGGTAAAGGGAAAATCCACTGACAAAAGCTTGGAATTTCCCTCACTTCCTGTTGTGTCTCTAGGTAAAGATGTGATAGAAAATCTCCTCAATAAGGATACAGACAGCAATAAAACCCTGACAGAGGTTTAAGTACTGTATTGTTCTGTCCCAAACTGGGAACAACTCTGCCGCAACTTCCACCTTAGGCCTGGTTCACACTGAGCGTTTTGTATTGCTTTTTTTGCCCTAAAAGAAATATGCCCCCCCCAAAAAATCCCATTCATTTCTATAGCCCTGTTCACCTCTGAGTGTTTTGTCACAATAAGCAAAACACCTGTTGCTGGAAAAGGTACATCAGGTTTTTTTTGGCATCTCACAGCTCGTTTTTGTTACATAGACTCAATAGGAAACGCTTGAAAACGCGCATTTGCTGTGTTTTTGCACATTTTTATGCATGTTTTATGTGCGTTTGCTTATTAACATCAATGTGCTACAATCTTCTCACAAAAATGCACAATTTGATATAAACGCACTGCGCAAAAACGCTGTCCCCTAGGTGTGAACCCAGGCTTTTCTTGCTACTATTGTGCATGTTTAAAAACATACTTTGTTATATTTTCATTTGAATGCCATACCTTCTCTCAGTCCTGCACATATCATATCGTCAGTTACCACCCTGCCCATCTTTATATATCCAGCCTGGCACAATTCATGGGCTACCACAGGAATTTCAATCTAAAATAACAGAAGAATAATTAGGACCTACTGCTACTATACACAAATAGGTGGAAAAGAAAATGAATGTTTTTTTCTACTGCAGTCAATCAAATTGAATTTTTTTAACAAGTCAAAGTACAAAATAAACATCTGACATACATCCTTTAATTAACCACTTGCTGACCGGGGTGTTTACACCCCCTTCCTGTCCAGGCCATTTTTCAGTATTCAGCGTTGCGGTACTTTGATTGACGTTTATTCCGTCATGCAACGCTGTACTTAAATTAATTTTATACCATTTTTTGGGGACAGATAGAGCTTTCTTTTGGTGGTATTTAATCACCTCTGGGGGTTTAATTTTTTTTATATAACAAAAAAGTACCGAAATGTGACGGACTGAACCGTCACTGGGGCTGCTGGAGGAGCCTGAGGGCTTGCCTCCTTCCTAGAGACTATGGACCAATCCCTATTGGCCCTGTTTCGAGTCCTCATTTGCATGGCCAAGAGGACCTAGGTGAGGACTGGAGGATACTTTGCAGTAGACCAATAGGAAGGTGGTCGGTTGGGCCACCTTCAAACTGTTGTTTATAAAAGTGTGTGTGTGCATCCAATAAACGAGATTCCTGTTTGAACTTACATACAGCCTGCCTGGTGTTTGTTCTGAGCTATCACCACTGGATACGAACGGCACATAGCTGTAGTTCGCATCCCAAATTATCGGATGTCCAAAATATCAGACGCTGCGGTCTGAAATCTAAGGAGTTCCGGGAGAGTGGAACCGAGCGAGCAAGGGGCTCGTTGCATTGGTGGCAGCGGTGGGATCTGCTCTCCAGTTACTGGGACACTCCAAACCACCACAGGGAATGACCAGCTATGTAGCCTGCAAGAGAGACATGCTGAAAGACCTACTTGAGGGCCGAGGAGGGACGGCTGGGACAAAGAACAAGGCCACCCTGATCAGTGAGCTAGCCGACATGGATCAGAGGGATGGTGATGCTGGACCCCAGTCAGTTGGAGACTTGTTTCAGCAACGGATTCGACAGCGGTTGGCATTATATGGTGCCAACCCATCAGAGAGCGCCATGCAGAATGCCATTAGAGGCATCCAGCTGCAGGATGAGCGACAAGAGAGAGAACTAGAGCGGCAACATGAGTGGAGAATGGCGCAACTACGGCAATCAGAGACAACACCTTGCCACGCCCGGGTCCCAGCGGATATGTAACAGGATCTCAGCGACTGAGTTTTAGGGAGAGTTGGACTCTGGGTTGAGTAGTATGACGGTAATTCAGGCTTGAACCTCTGGCGTCACTCACAGTTAACGGCGAGTTAGAGGATCTCTCTAGGTAGGTCAACTATGAAGTCGACTGAGATGACTTCCCATGGTCTATTGGGTATTGGGAGTGATAGAAGCAACCCGTATGGAGGTTTCCTCTCATGTTTACAAGTAGTGCAAACGTCACAAGTGGCGACATACTCCTGTATGGTCTTAGACATTTGGGGCCACCAGAACTGCCTCTTGATTAGATCAAGAGTTTTGGAAACCCCCGGGATGGCCTGCCAATGGACCATCATGCAGTAGTTGTATAACTGTGACTCTCATGTTAGAGGGGACGTACAGTTTTGTGTCCTTAAAAAGGAATCCTTCTGCGTCTGGTTTGAGACCAAGGGGTTTTGTCTCTGATTCGGTGGTTAGACTAGTTTGGAAACGTTCTGTAAACGTCAGGGTAGCACATATGAATCTTTCCTGGGGAATGATGGACACCGGAGGGGATGACAAGGTAGTGTCCTCCCTCATGCGAGATAGCGAATCAGCTTTAGCATTCTTAGAGCCTGGTCTGTAGGAGATGAGAAAATCGAATCTGTCAAAAAACAGACACCACCTGACCTGTCTGGCGGAGAGAGTTTTGCAAGATTTAAGAAACTGTAGATTACGGTGATCCGTGAATATAGTGAAGGGAAATCTGGTACCTTCAAGTAGGTGTCCCCAATTTTCCAGCGCACTCTTTATGGCTAGTAGTTCTTTTTCCCCGATGGGGTAGTTCCTTTCTGAGGGGTTCAGGGTCCTGGAAAAGAATGCGACAGGGTGCAGAGGAGCTGCAATCTCTAGACGTTGTGAGAGAACGGCTCCTATTGCAACCTGCGAGGCGTCTACTTCGAGCACATAGTGGCTATTTGGGTTTGGTAGTTGTAGTATGGGTGCGGTGGTAAACTTTTGTTTTAGCATCTCAAAAGCTTCTTGGGCTTCCTTAGTCCAGGAGTAGTTGAGTTTGGAGCTAGTCAGAGCCATCAGGGGTTTAACAACGGAGGAGAAATTCCTAATGAATTTCCGATAGAAATGAGCAAAACCCAAGAATCGCTGTAAAGCTTTCCTGGAACGAGGTATAGGCCAACTTAAGATACATGCTATTTTTGATTTGTCCATCTGGATTCCTTCGGGGGAGATCACATACCCCAGAAATGCTATGGAGGTTTGTTCAAAGACACATTTCTGGAGTTTGACGTAGAGGGAATGTGCCCTGAGTCTTGAGAGGACCCAACGTACATGCTTCCTGTGTGTATGAAGATCATCGGAATAGACGAGTATGTCATCGAGATAAACGACAACGCATACATCTAAGAGATCTCTGGATATGTTGTTTATGAAGCTCTGGAACGTAGCAGGAGCGTTACATAAACCGAACGGCATCACCGTATTTTTAAAGAGCCCATAACGTGTTCTAAAAGCGGTCTTCCACTCATCCCCTTGCCTCATTCTGATCAAATTGTAGGCCCCTCGGAGATCTAGTTTGGTGAAAAATCGAGAGGTCTGGAGCCTCTCAATGAGCTCGGGTATGAGCGGAAGAGGATACCGGTTCTTGACGGTAATCTTATTGAGCTCTCTGTAGTCTATTATAGGTCGCAGAGAGTTATCTTTGTTTCTGACGAAAAACATTCCTGCACTAGCAGGGGAGGTAGAAGGCCGGATGAAGCCCTTTTTTAGGTTGTCGTCCAAATATTTCTTTAAATAGTCGAGTTCTGGCTGGGAGAGTGAGTATATCTTCCCAGTGGGTATGGCACTTCCCGGAATCAGCTCTATGGGGCAGTCATACACCCTATGTGGAGGAAGGGCCTGGGCAAGTTTTTCACTGAACACATCAGAAAATTCCTGGTAGTGTTTAGGTGCTTCATCAGGGGTAATGAGCAGTACAGGGTTTAAGGGGTAGCACGTCTCGTTGCAGTATTCTGACTCTAGTTGTATACCCGTCCCTGACCATGACACGGTTGGTTTGTGAAGCCTTAACCATGGAAGGCCTAACACAACCGGGAAGAGTGGTGAGGGAATTATGTCAAAAGACAGATATTCGGTATGACTGCTGAGACAGGTGACTAATAACGGTTGGGTCTGGCTACAAATGGGTCCTAAAGATGAGGTAGACCCGTCAATAAAACTGACAGACACTGGGTTATGTTTTTTAAGGTGAGGTATTTTATTTTGCAGAACTAATTGGTGGTCAATGAAATTTCCGCACGCCCCCGTGTCGATCATGGCGTCAACCGCTATCCTCTCGTGGTCTGCAACAAAGTCTTCGACTGGACGTCGGCCCTGTTTCAAAGCCCTTATAGCAGTCTCGGCAGTTAACTGCTTAGTGGGGTCTTCATATAGTAGGGACATGGTGTCGAGGAAGTACTGGTAGGAGTCTAGGACAGGGTCTCTTGTCTCCAGGTAAGTATTTGTCCAAGCGCGGGGCTCCCCCCTAAGATATGATATCAGGGTGAGTACCTTGATCCTATCATTAGGGTAGGTCCGGGGACCTAGCTCAAATAGTAGGTTGCAGGAGTTTATGAACTCGCGGAACTTTTTCCGATCCCCAGTGAAGAGGTCAGGGGGGCTGACCTTGGGTTCGGGGCCGTCTCTGGGCGGCGCGGCGGGAGCTTCTATGATCTCCCTAAGGGACTGGTTCTGTAACTGCAGCTCTTGTACAGTCTCGGTTAGCGACTCTACCGTTTAGGTGAGACGCACGATATGCGCGGCTAACTCCGTTGGATCCATCTATGGGTTCCACTATTCTGTCACGCCCGGGTCCCAGCGGATATGTAACAGGATCTCAGCGACAGAGTTTTAGGGAGGGAATAAAGTCAATGGTATACACAGTACTAGAGTACTTTCGGGTTGCAGAGTGGAGTTTGAAGAGCGGTGGTTGCAGAGTGGAGTTACAGGGTGGATATTAGCACAGTGATGGCTGATGTAGAAGATCCTCCTGGCAGGCTGTGGAGGTGGATAGCTGTCCTGAGGCAACAGAAGGGTTAGCAGGTCCCAATGGCTGGAGGGTTAGCAGGGCGTTCAACCCTCAATAGTGGAACGCCCTGCTAACCTCGCAGGAGCCTTTAAATAGCCCGCTAACGCTGGAAATTGAATGGGACGCGTCTCGCCGCTTCCGCGTTCCAGGGTGGAATGCATCAGCCGGCGTCATAGTGAGGAGGCGTGACGGCGGTGATGTTCTTCCGGGTGCGTTCCACCCTGGAACGCACACTCGCCGCCGGACGTCCCCGGAATCCCTTACACACCTAGAGATACAGCGCCTTTCCGTAAGTCAGTTGGAAACTTGTTTCAGCAACGGGTTCGACAGCGGTTGGCATTATATGGTGCCAACCCATCAGAGACCGCCATACAGAATGCCATTAGAGGCATCCAGCTGCAGGATGAGCGACAAGAGAGAGAACTAGAGCGGCAACATGAGTGGAGAATGGCGCAACTATGGCAATCAGAGATAACACCTAGAGATACAGCGCCTTTCCGTAAGTTGCCCTTTCGGGCGTTCAAACTATTTAAGATGGAGATCCACGGAGAGGAGGTAGCCAACCTCTCTCCTCAGCAGCAATGTGAGCTCCAGGGAGAGGAGGCAGACGGCCTCTCTCCCCAGCAGCAGAGGGAGTTCCAGGGAGAGGAGGCAGCCATTCTCACTCCCCAGCGGCAGGCCATGGTGCAGGGAGATATTGGGGCCCTCAACACCCCCAGCAGGAGTTCCAGGGAGAGGATGTAGCCGGCCTCTCTCCCCAGCGCCAGAGGGAGTTCCAGGGAGAGTAGGCAGCCAAACTTTCTCCCCAGCAGCAGGTGGAGCATCTGCAAAAAGGTGCAGCGGATACTTGTCCTCAGTGGCAGTCTTTGTCCCACGGAGGGGAGGCAGCCATTCTCACTCCCCAGCGGCAGGCCATGGTGCAGGGAGATGTAGGGGCCCTCAACACCCCCCAGCGGCAGTTTGTTTTCAGGAAATCAGATGCCAGACATGTATATTTGTCTTGTCCGACTAACACAGGTCCAGACCAGTTGGGGGTCTGGAATCTGGTTAGTCTACTGTCGGGAGGGGAGAAATGTGACGGACTGAAGGAGGGGGCGCACCCTCACTTGCATCATATAAGCAATCGGGTGTCTTTACAGGCGCCGGACCGCTTGTATGTAAACGGCCATTGCCCCCTGGCGCGCACGAGCGGGCGCGAAGGACGTCTATAGACGCCAACCCGCATCCAGGAGACGTCCGGCCGTCTTTCAAGGATCGGCGGACGGGAAGTGGTTAATGAATTAATTTGATTAAAAAAAGTTGTAATAACTGTTTAGTTATCAGAATAACATTTCTCTGAGTGGAAACTATAACCCATTGGGGAAATGTTCTTTCTTTTTTGGGGGTAAAATACAGGTAACTAACAGGTAACAGATTGCCATATTTAACATTGCAGGATTGGAAAAGTTTGCGGACACCGCTGATATTCGTATTTCCCAAACTCATCGGTCCGGTCCAAAAAGCCGGGTGCCGGCCGACAGAGGCACACCACGGCCATCACTAGAAGTCCAATGTATCTAAAGCAACACTCAACAGCCAGGACCTCGATGTAAAAAAGTTTATTCCCAGAAATCTAAAACGTTACAAGCATAACAAGATCCACAGGCTCTGACATGTTTCACCAAAAAAGCTTAAAGGAGAGCTATGTGGTTAGGGCTTTTCCCCATAGTTCTCCTTAGGCTAACGGGAGGACACAAACTAGCGTCCTCCCGTCACCCTAAGCTCAGTATACCGCGAGCTACAACTGGCGGTATACTGAGACGCCGCAGCTGAAGCGGATCCCAACAATTATGTCTGGATCTGCCCAGCTGCGGGAGTGACAGTTGGCTCGGCCTATCTAGAGGCAGAGCCAGCTGTACCCGCCCTCTCCCCCGTCCGTTCCGTCAGTCAGTACTGGAGGATCGAAGCGGGGAGGGGGGAATCCAGCCACTCCCCTGTCACGGCAGAGAGCCGTGACAGGATTGAGAAGTGAGTGAACGCCGGTATGTGTTCGCTCACTTCCGATCTACTGAGACGACCTGTGACAGTCTCATTGTGACAGGTCGGCTAGAACTATGAGGTGAGTGAAAAGCACTCCTCACAGTTCTCCTTTAATCATAGAGGCCATTGCAGGGCTGGAGATTAGGAGACACAAATGCATGATTGAGGACGACCTCTACGTGAGTACTTTGGGGATATTTAACAACATTCAATAATGGAGTATAGATATCGCCCATATCAAATATTGTATCTCAGGCAGTAACTTAGGCAAATTAAAAAGGAGTAGTGTCATCGATCATATAGCCTTCAAAAATCTTACGTGAGAAGAGCTAACCTACAGAAAGAGAAATAACGGAGTAGAAGAAAACTAAAAAGAATATATTAAGAAGGGAGGAGGAAAGGGTAGAATGGAGAGGTGTAGGACCTGGCTTGGGAAGAAAAAAAGGATAGGAAACCCTTTTAAAATGACAAAGGGTCAAACACTAGTGGAAAATAAAAATTTTCTTTTTTAAATAGCTAAATATGATAAGTGAACTCTAATAAGGGAAAAGCGGGACACAAGTCTGAAGCATGAGGTAGATGGCATGGGTCTTTATTGGAAGGCTGGAATCTTAATCAGCTTTTCATTGCTGTCTTTTTCTTTGCTGCAGATTTCCCCTCACTTCCTGTCCTGCTGTCAATTTGCTTACGGAGACAGGACGAGAAGGAAAATCTCCCAGTAGGACTATAGACAGCAATAAAACAGAGTTTCTAACTTTTCTCCACACTGCCCAAAGCTAAATTACAAGCTTTTGCAGGAGTTACATTTTAATATTACATTTTACATTTTAATATTACATAGATAAAATTACCTCCATGAGGGCTTCTGGCAGTTTCCTTAAGAACTGTTTTCCCCATCCACTGACAACTACAAAATCCTCTAAAATGAAGTATAATTTTATTACACATTGTGCAATAACAACACATTGCAATACAATGACACATTAGAAAAGCATATTTTATCAAAGCATTCAGTTGGACAGGCATCACACAAGTCATTTAGAATAACCATCAAAAGTTGGGTGCCTTAGAAGAGAGTTTTCACTTCATGACTAAAATAAGTATGACTCATCTGTTATTTCTTAAGGTGAATGTTGGCAACTATGATGTGACACACACATGTTATGCTATTTTGGATTCGGCCACCAGCACATTCTGAACATGCGCGCTGCCATCCTGGAGGCGGGTTGCATGATGTCACATGACACCATGCGTGCGCGGGGGTTGGGTGACATCACACCTCTGTTTCTGTTGTGCATCGGCGCAAAAGGAGCTAGCTACAGCTCTGTTACCAATCCTTAAATGTGGTGGTTGCATTAGTTTTTGTTTTGTTTTTTTCCCCTTTATTTCCACCTGGTGTACTGGCCAGTGACACACTTCCTGTCATAGGGTGGCTCCACTCCATGGAGGAGCAATGAAGCCACCCATGGACAGCAGCATTGCCAACCTATGGAGAGGGTAGTGTTAGTTGCACTAGTAGATTTAATTGGACTTGACTAACAAAGTAAATCCAAACTCAAGCTATCCCCTTGTATGCAGTTACAACAGTTTATTTTTCCTTTTGCTGTAAAGGTTTTACCAAAATGAACAAAAGCTGATCATTGCAAGAACCCCTGTCAGCGTTAAAGGTTTAATTGTTTTTCTAAACCCTCTAACACTCTGCACTTGTAGGACAGGCCTATGTTCCCCTCCTGCCCACATACCTGCGCAGCGGGCTGTGTGTAATTTGCACACCCAGATGTCAATCTAGGCTAGTCCCAAAACATGCCCCTTTGAGCAGGCATAACCAGTGGAATCATGGGAAGCACACTGCGAAATTCCACTCAGCATCAGTATTGGGATCCTACAGCAGAGGCCCAGAAGATGTTGAGATGACCAATTCTGGGTTCCTACTGCGGTAAGAATCAATTTCATGATTAAAATTAGTGACATAGACCTTGCTGGGAAATTTAATTGGTAATTCACTAGCTCAGCCTCATCACCCTCTCCCATCTTCTACATGACAGAGCTTTCCACCGGCTCCCAGCACAGCCTCACAAGAGCATGTTTGTCAGCTCCACATGGGGATGTGCATTCACACAGCTCCAGTCCATCAGGTGGGAGGAAGACGCGTTGCGGCCTGCAAAATGAAGATATTTCTGAACATCTGTCACCCTCACAACAAGCATTAAGGAAGCCACATTGTTTTGTTGACACTAATTGAAGTATCCATTTGGGGCCCTTTATGCATCTGCAGAATAAGGTGAGAAACACAAAATAGACATATATTATCTTTTTTGTGAACAAAAGGAGACAAGGCATCTTTAATGCATCTGTAAAGGCAAGTATTATTCAAGGAATGTGGATGGAGTGGCAGAGAGGGATAATCAGAGAGAGGAAAAGAAGAGTAATAGAGATGGGAAAAGTAGAGTAGCACAGAAAAGATAAGCAGAGTAACAGAGAGGAGATAAGATGAGTAGCAGAGAGGGGGTAAACAGAATAGAAGAGAGGGGATAAGCAAAGTAGCAGAGAGAAGATTAGCGGAGTAACAGAGAGGGAATAATCAGGGTAGCAGAGATGGAATAAGCAGAGTAGCAGAGAGAAGATAAGCAGAGTAGCAGAGAGGGGGTAAGCAGAGTAGCAGAGAGGGGATAAGCAGAGTAGCAGAGAGGGAATAAGCAGAGTAGCAGAGGGAGGATAGCAGAGTAGCAGAGAGGGGATAAGCAGAGTAGTAGAGAGGATAGGCAGAGAAGTAGAGAGGAAATAAGCATAGTAGCAGAGAGGGGATAAGCAAAGTAGCAGAGAGGGAATAAGCAGGGTAGCAGAGAGGGAATCAGCAGAGTAGCAGAAAAGGAAAAATCAGAGTAGCAGAGGGAGGATAGCAGAGTAGCAGAGATGGGATAAGCAGAGTAGCAGAGAGGGGATAAGCAGAGTAGTAGAGAGGATAGGCAGAGAAGTAGAGAGGAAATAAGCATAGTAGCAGAGAGGGGATAAGCAAAGTAGCAGAGAGGGAATAAGCAGGGTAGCAGAGAGGGAATCAGCAGAGTAGCAGAAAAGGAAAAATCAGAGTAGCAGAGGGAGGATAGCAGAGTAGCAGAGATGGGATAAGCAGAGTAGCAGAGAGGGGATAAGCAGAGTAGTAGAGAGGATAGGCAGAGAAGTAGAGAGGAAATAAGCAGAGTAGCAGAAGGGATAAGCAAAGTAGCAGAGAGGGGATACGCAGAGTAGCAGAAAAGGAAAAATCAGAGTAGCAGAGGGAGGATAGCAGAGTAGCAGAGATGGAATAAGCAGAGTAGCAGAGAGGGGATAAGGAGAGTAGCAGAGAGGGGATAAGGAGAGTAGCAGAGAGGGGATAAGCAGAGTCGCAGAGTAGTAGAGAGGGGTAGTAGAGTACGCATCATTTCCTTTTCTATTTTATAGGCCTTTTCTTTTATATGAAGGTGCTTGTTACAAACACAGGAGGATTAATCACTGTGAATTCTCGATAGTAAAAGCAATTATCTTTAAATTGAATACCTGGCTGTACTTCTTCTTCTGGTATGCAAATAGGCATCACATAGTCATTGAGAAAAGCTTGTTGTGGAAGCTCCACCAGGGCGATGTCATTCTGAAAGGTACTGCTATTGTATTTTGGGTGGAGAAATAAGTTCTTGGCCTGAAATACTTGCTCCGAGTCATCCTGATTTAAAGTCCTATGTTTCCCTGTCAATAGAAAGAGTACACATGATACTGCAGCTTCTGGGCTGTGAGTTGTTCTTAAAGACCACAAGTGGGTTTCAGTTTTTTGGAGCCTTAAGACTATTGGCTTTACAATGCAACATTTCCTAAAACAGAAATAACAATAAGTATATATATTTATTATAAGCTGCTATACCTTCCCGTCCTCTAATGTCATACTTAGATCAGCTATAGGAAACATTTCCATTGAAATTTAAGGGCCATTGCTCAGTTATCATTCTGCAAAAGCTAGTTCCCTGGCCATCATGCTGACCCTTTGGCTTCATGACTTTGCGTGGTTGACCCAAAACCTATGAACATATGGACTTTGCACCTTCTTTCCTTATATTTATACTTGTTCTGGGTAAGCAATTCAGAAAGTAATGTAGCCAGTGGGGCAATATAACAGCCAGGCAGCTAGCATTTCCAAAAATTGAACTGACACACTGCCAGCTCAAGAACCGTGCACTGCATTGTGGGAAGGTGGGGGGGGGGGGGCAAGGCAAAGCAAGGCCTCCCC